GCCCGAAGCCAAATTTGGCATTTTCACCCACCCAGTGCAGCGTTTCGTGATCCCATAGGGTGCTCCACTCAAGGCCCCAGTGCCACCGTCCGTATGCGTCCAGGAAATGTAATTGGGCATTTTCACCCGCGCAGTGCAGCGCTTCGTGGCCCCATAGGGCGCTCCACCGAAGCCCCCAGTGGGACCGTCCGCGTGCGTCCCAGAAACCCAATTTGGCATTTTCGCGTATTTTCGCGCCAGACTAATTCGCTTTCTCACGTTTTCCCGCTTCCAACCTTCGAAAATCGAGGATTTGAAACAATTATCCTGGCGAAGGTCCCAACCATATGCAGTTGTGGGTACCGTAATTGTGAATATCTGCTTCCGTGAAGCTCCCTATGGGGCCACGAAGCGCTGCACTGGGCGGGGGGGAACGCTGTACTGTGTGGGTGGTGTGCCGAATTGGGTTTCCGGGACGCATGCGGACGGCCCCACTGAGGGCTTCGGTGGAGCCCCCTATGGGGCCACGAAGCGCTCTACTGAGTGAGTGAACATGCCAAGTTGGCTTTCCGGGACGCATGTGGACGGTCCCCCTGGGGGCTTCGGTGGAGCCCCCTATGGAGCCACGAAACGCTGCACTGCGCGAGTGACAATGCCAAATTACATTTCCCTGACGCATACAGACGGTGGCGCTGGGGCCTTGGGTGGAGCCCCCTATGGGGCCACGAAACGCTGCACTGGGTGGGTGAAAATGCCAAATTGGGCTTTCACGCATGCGGACGGGGGCGCTGGGGCCTTCGGTGGAGCTCCCTATGGGGCCACGAAACGCTGTACTGGGTGTGCGGGACGCATGCGGACGGTAGCGCTGGGACCTTCTGTGGGGCTCCGTATGGGGCCACGAAACGTTGTATTGGGTGTGCGGGACGCATGCGGACGGTAGCACTGGAACATTCGGTGGGGCTTCCCATGGGGCCACGAAACGCTGTACTGGGTGGGTGAAACGCAGGGAGGAGGGGGAGGAGGGCCACGAAACGCTGTACTGGGTGCGCGGGACGCATGCGGACGGTGGCACTGGAGCCTTCGGTGGAGCTCCCTATGGGGCCACGAAGCGCTGTACTGGGTGTGCGGGACGCATGCGGACGGTTGGACCTTCGGTGGGGCTCCCTATGGGGCCACGAAGCGTTGTACTGGGTGTGCGGGACGCATGCGGGCGGTAGCGCTGGGACCTTCCGTGGGGCTCCCTATGGGGCCACGAAGCGTTGTACTGGGTGGGTGAAACGCAGGGAGGGAAGGGGAGGAGGGCCACGAAACGCTGTACTGGGTGCGCGGGACGCGTGCGGACGGTAGCACTGGGACATTCGGTGGAGCTCCCTATGGGGCCACGCAACGCTGTATTGGGTGTGCGGGGCGCACGCGGACGGTAGCACTGGGACCTTTGGTGGAGCTTCTAGTCGGCCACGAAACGCTGTATTGGGTGTGCAGGACGCATGCGGATGGTAGCGCTGGGACCGTATGTGGGGCTCCCTATGGGGCCACGAAGCGCTGTACTGGGTGGGTGAAACGCAGGGAGGAGGGGGGGCGGGCCACGAAGCGCTGTACTGGGTGTGCGGGACGCATGCGGACGGTAGCACTGGGACCGTAGGTGGGGCTCCCTAATATGGGGCCACGAAACGTTGTATTGGGTGGATGAAACGCAAGGAGAAAGGGGAGGAGGGAGGAGGAGGGAGGAGTGGGAGGAGGAGGGGGAGGAGGAGAGGAGAGGAGAACGCGGGGCGACGTCTCTTCAAAACGAGGACCCAAGACCACAGGATGGTTGGAAAAAAGGAATTCCCAGAAGCTTTCCTTTTTTAAAGTGGGACTCCTACTCGGGGTCCTACACATCCCCTGACATCTGGCCGGTACCGCGCCTCCCGGCTTTCCAGGGGGACCGAAGCCCTCAGCGGGACCAACCGTATGCGACCCGGAAACCCAATTCGGCACACCACCCACACGGTACAGCGTTCCCCCCCCGCCCAGTGCAGCGCTTCGTGGCCCCATAGGGAGCTCCACCGAAGCAGATATTCACAATTACGGTACCCACAATTGCATATGGTTGGGACCTTCGCCAGGATCATTTTTCAAGTTTGGCCCACGGTCTACTCGTGGACAAGAGACAACAATTCAGACCCCCCTCACCTCCCAAAGAAGAACCCAGCAACCCCTTGAGGGCCCCAAATCGTTGAATACCTAAAGGAAATTAATGATTTCTTCGTTTCCGCGTTTCCCCTTCTATACGATTCCGAGGCTTGCGCAGGGCTTCCAAGGCAGTTCCTGGGCGCAAGAAGCGACCAACATGAGACGACATGAGTTAGCCTATCAAACCTAGCTAGAACTTGAGCGCGCGCGAAGCCGGCGCGATGGTTCTAGCATATGCACATATATACAAGTATACGTCATATATATATATGTACACACATATGTTTTTGTTGTTTTTTGTTTTTATATGTATACGGACATATAGACATACATACACATGTATACATGTATATGTATATATATACATATATATATATATATACATATATACATATATATATAGATGGTCCAGGGTCTGGGCCCCCCCCTCATGTTGCTGCCATCGCCCCCCCCCCGCGCGATGGTCCCCCCGCCCCTGTGGGTGTGGTGTGGTGCGGTGGGTGTGGCGTGTGTGGCGTGGTACTGTGGTGCTCCAGGAGAGCTGCGGAGATCGTCGTCGTCGTTGCCGCCGCCGCCGTCGTCGTCGTCGTCGGAGGGCTCCGGAGGTCGGCGCCGCCGGCGCCGCCGCCGTCGCCGCCGTCATCGTCAACGTCGTCGTCGCCGTCGTCGTCGTCTTCGCCGCCGCCGTCGTCGTCGCCGTCGCCGTCGTCGTCGCCGTCGCCGTCGCCGTCGTCGTCTCCGCAGCCGTCGTCGTCGTCGTCGTCGCCGCAGCCGTCGTCGTCGTCGTCGTCGTCGTCGTCGTCGTCGTCGGCGTCGTTGTCGTCGTCGTCGTTGTCGTCGGCGTCGTCGTCGTCGTCGTCGCGTCGTCGTCCCCCTCCATCGCGTCAGGGGCGGGGGGGGGGGCGTGGAGCTCTGGGGCCGATCCCATCTGGGGGAGGGGCCCGTGGGCCTGGAGCCCGGGATCATATAAAAACATACGTGGCGGTGGATCATCTTGTTGAATTGTGATCGTGCTGATGAGGATGAGTGGGATGGGGGCAAGGGGAGATGCTGTTTCTCCTCCCTCATGCTTGTCTCTTCGCCTTCTTCTCCCTCGTCGCTCCTGGTTCCTCCAACCCCTCGCTACTTCCTCCCCCCCACCTCTCATTATTCCCCTGGTCTTCTTCCTCCCCGCGAATCCTCCTTGTCAGTGGAGGGTGGGGAGGAGGGTGGTGGGCATGGACACAGCGAGGGATGAGGGCCGGATGAGAACGATGAGGAACGGGGACAGGCTAGAGAGGGGAGGACGAGGAGGAGGAGGGGGAGGGACGGAGGACGGACGGAGGAGGAGGGACGAAGGATGGGCAATCCTGTCCCTCCTCATCCTCTTGCCCCGTCTTCTTCTTTCATTATGTTATCCTCGTAATTCTGATCGCACCCTTGCGACTAGCCCCCACGTCGAAGAGTGGGGGAACTGCAGAGTTGGGAAAAGTCTGGAAGTGCCCAAGATTCTTCGAATTGCATCCCGGTCGCGCGGGCTTCCCCTTCATACATCTGGCGTCTCGATGTTTTAAGACACAGGGCTTCAGACATCTCCACCACTTCTCAGGGGGCTCGAAATCTGCATCCGGGGGCCGAAATCTGCATCGACGAAAACTCGAGGTCCTTTGCGACCCTCAGAGGCCTCCGCGGGCCTCTGAAGGGCCCAAGGGATTCGAACGGGCCAAAGCCTCGATCCCCTAACATCGAGCGTCGACGCCGACGACGACAACGACGAATGTGGTGGCGACGGCGACCCCAGGCCCCAGAAGTTCGCGTGGCCCACGCGTGGGCGAAAGGAGGAGGAGGAGGAGGAGGAGGCGTGGGCGAAAGGACGGAGGAGGAGGAGGAGGAGGAGGAGGAGGAGGAGGAGGAGGAGGACGAGGAGGGCCCCTTCCTTCCGCCCCTGGGTCCTCTGGAGAAGATCCTGGGGCCCGACCACGGGCCTAGGAGGCCCACGTCGAGGAACACCTGTGAGGTCGGGCACGTCCCTCTGCGGGGGGAATATCCAAAACTAGTCAAAACAGATAGCCAGGGGGAGATTTTTCGATGATTTTTGGAGTATGTCTGCGCATGTCTCGACAACTTGTCTCTTTTTGTGGGGGGGGGGAACTTTGTATATTTTGGGGCATTGTTGGGCATTTTTGCATAGTTGTGTTTATTTTTCATTATTTCGTCCGAAATCCCCCTGTAGGAGGACAGGCCCGACTTACGACAAATGGCCGAGTGAAAAAAAGCAGAGTGTCGGATGTCTGGGACAGCGACCGCGCAGGGCCCACTTCGATCTGATCGATCCGATTCGATGCACGCTCTGGCCGACCCGATCCCGATACGATTCCGATGCTCCGGCGGTCCGATGCGATATTACGTTTGCGTGGCGCTGTTGTACAACTCGGCGCGACCCATCCGATTCTATCTCGACTCCGTGCGGATGCAGCCTGATCCGACACAGATTCCGATCCGATCCCATTTATCTCGGACGGGCCTAGAATCGACATAGATCCGTTGCAGAGCGTTCCAGAACGCTTTCAGAGCATCCAGGAACGCTCCGAAACGGCCGCGGCGCCCGATGCATCCCCCACACCCGCCGACTCTCAGAGAGACCCGACCGAGACCCGCCCGATGGTGTCTTCCGATTCGGTGCTGGCCTCCCCTGCCGCGACCACGAGGACGACCACCACCACGAGGACGACCACGGCCACGGCCGCGGCGGCGGCGGCCGCGACGGCCTCGGCGCTCCGCCTCGGCGCGCCACGGGGCCCGCCGAGGCCGAGCGCACCGCTCGGCTCTGGGGGGGCGGGTCGGAGGGCCGCGCGTGCGCGCCGGAGGCGGCGGCGCCGGCGGGGGCCGAGTACCAGAGGGGCGACCAGGCCCCCGGGTAGGAGTGGGGGTGAGCCACGCGCAGATGGGGTGGTCCTCCTCCTCCTCCTCCTCCTCCTCCTCCTCCTCTTCCTCCTCCTCTGCTTCCTCTGCTTCCTCCTCCTCCTCCTCCTCCTCCTCCTCCTCCTCCATCCAATACTGCCAATATCCTTGCAGCCAATGCCTCCCTGTCGAACCACCAGAGGTGTCGGCAGGGCGGGCCGGGCGTCTTGCTTGAGGCTGCCGCAGCATGTGTGATCGCGACGCGCAGAGGGGGGGTATAAAACGACGCGAAGATCGGGACAAAATCGGATCGGGATAACTCGAAATCTCTGAGAATCGGCGGGTTTGGAGGATGTATTGGGCGCCGCGGCCGCTCCAGAGCGTTCCGGAACCCTCTGAGAGCACTCCGGAACGCTCTGGAGCGATTTATCCCGATCCTAGCCCTGTTTTAGTTAGGGTAGGGGGCAGGGGGAGGGGGGAAGGCTTCTCAGAAGCGCCCCCCTGCTTCTCAGAAGGCGTGGGCCTGATCTGAAGATGCAGGGCCGGCGCCTTCTGAGAAGCAGCCTCCTTCTAAGAAGCCTTCCCCCACTCCCCGTATACCCCCTTGTGCGCGTCGCCAGGGGGGGGGAGGCCCGGACCCCTCGCGTCATGAAGAGATCACGGCGCGCGGTGGTTCGCCCTTCTTCGGCCTCCGGGGGGCCCCTGCCTGCCCCGGGGCCGTCGGAAGGCGGTCCTGAGGCACGGGTCGAGACTTCTCTTGGGGGACGTCAATGACAAGATCAGGAGGTCGGGGGTCTGGGCAGCCTGGGGGGGTGGGCCTGTTTTCCACCACCACCACCACCATAAGTTGGAGGGGGGGGGAGGAGGAGGAGGAGGAGGAGGAGGAGGAGGAGGAGGAGGAGGACCCCCCACTCCAACTTATGGTGGTGGTGGTGGAAAACATGCCCATCATGGGGGGGTGGGAGCACACGGCGACGACGTCTGAAGTAGGGGCCGCCCGGGGTTCGGGAGGGGCTCTGGCTTCCAGGGCCGCTCCTCGGATGTGCGGCGGGGGGGGCCCGTCCGTGGCCGAGGCTCCTCGTGGCCACGAGAGCCCCGTCGCTCGCTTTCCCACCGCTGCGCGCTCCGAGGCGGGAATTTCTAATCCTCCTCCTCCTCTTCGCAGCTTCCTCCTCCTCCTCCTCCTCCTCCTACTCCTACTCCTATCCTTATTCCTTATTAGAATATACTCCTACTCCCCCCTCAGGCCGGCAGATAGGGGCCGCATCCGGGTGGTCCCATCCAAACCTGTAAAAAACAATACAAAATCAACATTTTTCTTATTTTTTCCTCTCGACATGGACGTCCTGTCGTCCACGGCGATAATCCATTGCAAAAAATACCACAAAGAGCACACGCGCGCGTTCATGTTAGAATCCTACCGAACACCGTGTGTTTGCAAGCATTTCAACATAAAAACATCAAAAACCCAATGCTTTTTCACAAAAAAACTACAAATTTCCTGCCCGGGCTCTCTTGCTGAAATCATAGGAAAACCATGGGAATCTTAAGAATTCGGTCAAATCCAGCGATTTCACGTCATCGCGCGGTGCACTCGCGATGCTCTGTCATGCACCCAGGCCGCGAATCCTGTGCAAAAAAGACCACGCGGGCGACATGCGCGCGCGTCGCCGCGAGCGCATGCTCAAATCCTTCTAGAGTCGTCTACTACTACTACTACTACTACTACTACTACTACTACTACTACTACTACTACTACTACTACTACTACTACTACTACTACTACTACTACTACTACTACTACTACTACTACTACTACTACTACTACTACTACTACTACTACTACTACTACTACTACTACTACTACTACTACTACTACTACTACTACTACTACTACTACTACTACTACTACTACTACTACTACTACTACTACTACTACTACTACTACTACTACTACTACTACTACTACTACTACTACTACTACTACTACTACTACTACTACTACTACTACTACTACTACTACTACTACTACTACTACTACTACTACTACTACTACTACTACTACTACTACTACTACTACTACTACTACTACTACTACTACTACTACTACTACTACTACTACTACTACTACTACTACTACTACTACTACTACTACTACTACTACTACTACTACTACTACTACTACTACTACTACTACTACTACTACTACTACTAGTACTAGTAGTACTGCAAGTACTTGTCATAGCACTACTTTTTCTGTTACTACTACTACTACTACCACTACCACTACCAACACCACTACCACTGGTACTACTACTCCTGCCTCTTGGGGCCTCCTGGGCCCCCTTGGGGTGTCCTGTCAGACCGTCGGGCTTCCTCCGGCCACCTCTGGCTTCCTGCGGTGTACCGGGCCATTCTCGACTCGTCTGGCAATGCGTGCGCGGCATTCAACACGCGCTCGCCAGTTCCCGTCGGCAACCGCCATCGCGGCCGCATCAGCTGTACCAAACCGGCTGGCCGGTGTGACTTCGGCCCCCAGTTGTGCCAGCTTTGCTTCTTATGTTGTGGGAGGGCGGGTGGGACTGGGCACGCCATGCTTGACTCGCTCGAGCTGGCTAGCTTGACTCCTACTCCTACTCCTACTCCTACTCCTACTCCTACTCCTCCTCTCGCTCGAGGAACGAGGATCGAGACATGACAGCCCGCCTCCCACGGGCCAAAGCTGGACCACCGCCTGGAGGGTCAGTTTTCGGAGCCTCGGCAGGCGGCGGATGTGGACATATTCGGGCCCCCGGGGGCCGACATATGTATATATATATATAGATCCATATCCATATCCATATCCATATCCACCGCCCGCTGGGGCACCAGGACGTCGGTTCCCAGGCGGTGGATATGGATAAATCCCCGCCTCACACACACGATGGCCAGAAGGGGAGTGTGGGGGGTCTGACTTAGGGCTTAAGGGGGTGGGGGGAGGGCACGAGAGAGGGTGTGGTGGAGGAAACAGGGGGGTGGGGGGACGGAACTGTGGGGGTGTGAGGGCCGGACAGGGGTGGGCGGCGTGATGCGGCGGCAGGGTCACGGCGTTTCGCGTGGCGGTGCTTTCTTGTGCGCTGAGGCACTGGCGGGGAAAAAACACAGGACAGGGGGCGGAGGGGCTGAAAAGCGGATGAGGTGAGGCAGAAGAATTTGGGGGAGTGGAGGGGGGGTGAACAAAATGGGGGGTGGGGGGACGGAAATGCGGGGTGGCGTCCAGGAAAGAGGGGGTGGGGAGGAAGGGAACAAGGGGTGCGGGGCGGGGCCCAAGGAGTGAGGATCAGAAGGAGGAAGTGGGCGGACGGGCATAAGAGGGCGCGTTGGAGGGACACAGCGGTTGGGGGAGGGAAGTAGGGGTGGGGGTCTGTGTCCCTCAGTCGCCTTCTCCCACAGGCCAAGATCTGAAGTCGGTCCGGTCCTCCCTGTCCCTTGGCAGAGCTGGGAGGTGGGTGGACCCTCAGCACTCAGCAGTCGGGAAAGCGCCGCAGCTGGAAACACGTTGTCCTACGCCTGTCAAGAATGTCTCGGCCAGACCCTGAAGTAGGCCAGCAGCAGTTTTTACTGTTGTCAGCGCGTCCCTGGTCCCGACCACCGCTCACACGTGCGAGGGTGCCACCATTACATGTGTAGCCGAGAATCTAGAACGCGCTGCAGGCTTTGCAGGCCTTGCGATGGAAGTGTCGAGCTGGATGCCGAGAGTGCGTCGATGATGCTAGCAGTGTGTGTGTGTGTGTGTGTGCGTGTGTGCGTGTGTGTGAGAGTGTGTGTGTGTGTCGGTGTGTGTGTGTGTGTGTTGTGTGTTGGCGTGTGTGCCAGAGAGAGAGAGAGAGAGAGAGAGAGTGCGCGCGCGTTCCCGCGAAGCCGGTACACTCCGAAGATGGCACCACAGCCAACGGGCCGATACCTTGTGGTCGTGGCCTTCTATTGCCGCACGGCTACCCGCGCCGAATCATGCGAACGGTACGGCATTGTTTGACCCCCCCGCCCTGCTTCCCCGCGGAAGGTCCAGTACTGGAGTGACTCCAAGAACCGCTGGATTGACGCCCTGGTGGAGGACGTCCGTGAGAAGGACCCATGTGCCCGTGTGCCCAACAGCGCGCCAGCGAGGAGGGCGTCGCTGGGTCGGGGTCAGAGTCCTCTACTGCATCCCACCTCCCATCCTGGGTCGGGTCCTGGGACGGCTGCCTGGCCGCTCGCGTCGGGCCCGCTTGGGGGGGTAGCACTCGTCGCCGTCGGCTTCTCTCGGGCACCTCCCTCTGCTGGAGGCACCGTGTGTCGAGCTGCGTCTTGACCGACCGACCCCTCCGCGACGTCCGGCCCGCCCGAGTTCTTTGAAACGGCCCGAGCCCCACGGCCTCTGGACCCCTCTCCTCGGGCAGCCCTCCATCCGGACAAGCAACGCCCGGGGGCACGACGTCGGCCTCCAGAGGCCCCAGATCGGGGAACATCGGCCGCCTCGATGCTCCTCGAGCCGCCGGGGTCGTCCAGGCGACCCTTCCTGGGTCCTGGGGCGCCTGTCCGTGCCCAGACTGTCGGGGCAGTCCAGCCGTGGCCACGGGGTGCCCTGGGAGGACACGAAGATCAAGTCGGACCTGTCCCTCTGCAGTAGGACTGGTCACGAGGAGTCAAAACATAGTCTGGGTACGACTCGTCGATGATTTGTGGAGTGTGTTTGCACATTTCTCGACATTTTTTTTTGTTCGCCCCAAGTCCGCCTGTAGGAGTACATGCCCGACCTAACACGAAGATGTCCGAGACGTCGAGCCTCGATCTCTCGACCCCCGCAATTTTCTCAAGCCGCCCATTGCCCAGGCTCCCGCATTGTCCGCGCGCCACCTCGGACGGCCACCTCGTCGGAGGGCACCTCGAGCGCCACCTCGGACGGCCCAGGGGGTACGGCATTCTTCGCCTCCGTGTCGACGCGGCGGCGGCGATCCCCGGCGCGGGCGATCAGTCCGAGGTTGGGGGCCATCCGTATCTCAGAGAAGGGCAAGGCACCGATGCTGGTACCCTTGCCTCGTCTTCGCCTTCTTGGGCCTCCTGGGAGGCCCTCGTCGCCACGGTTGGAGACGAGATCGCTTGTCAGAAGGCCACGCTCGTTGAAGGTTGAGCAATTCACGCGGTTTCAGAAGCCAACACGTAAATCGTCACGGCACGAGCTTTCCAGCACCCTCGCGCCTCTTGACAGTTAGCAGCTAGCTTGACGGTCAAGAATGACCCCAGCTTTGAATCAAGGGAGGAAAAACACCCGGACCCGATAGTTGGCGTTTGCTCAACGGCCCAGGGCGTTTTTTTTGACAGCTCTGCCCTGTTCGATTCTTTTTTGTCTGGGGGCGTTTGCGAAGTGGTTTCGCGTGTTGGGATGATTTCTATGAGGGTGCACTTCACTTGCCGAACTTGAAGTTGTCAACTCCACTGCTCGCGCAATCATCACACCCACCCACCCGCAACTTGGTTTGCACAATTTCTTAAGACCGTGAGGTGTGGACCAAATGGCACTTGGCAACGACAGCGACGCCGACGACGACAGCGACAACGACGACGACGACGACGCCGCCGACAACGACTACGACGACACCGACGACGTCTCCAACGACTTCGACGACGCCGACAACGACGAAGACGACGACGACGACACACCGACACCGACGACGACGACGCCGACGCCGACGACGACGACGACGACGATGACAACGACGACGACGATGACGACGCCGACGGCGACGACAACGACGACACCGACGACGACGACGACGTCAACGACGCCGACGGCGACGGCGACGACGACGACGACGACGACGACGGCGGCGACGACGACGACGCCGACGTCGACGACGAAGGCGACGACGACGTCAACGACGCCGACGACGACGGCGACGACGACGACGACGACGACGACGACGGCGGCGACGACGACGACGCCGACGTCGACGACGAAGACGACGACGACGCCGACGCCGACGACGACGACGAAGACGACGACGACGTCGCCAACGAAGACGACGACCAGGGAGGAGGGAGGACGACGACGGCGACAACGACCACAACGACGACAACGACGAGGGAGGAGGGAGGACGGCGACGACGCGAACGACGAAGAAGGAGGAAGGACGGCGACGCTGACGACGACAACGACGAGGGATGAGGGAAGACGACGACGACGACGGCGACAACGACGACGACGACGACGGCGACGAAATAGGAGGGACGACGACGAGACCGCGACGACGACGACGACGACGAGGAAGGAGGAGGAAGGACGACCACGGCGACAACGACGACGGAAACGACCACGACTCCAAAGAGGACGACGACGACGAACACGAGGAAAGACAGAGGACGACGTAGGCGACGACGACGACGACGCGGGAGGATGGAGGACGGCGACGACGACGACGACGACGACGACGACGACGACGACGACGACGCAAGAGCGCGCGCGCACGCTTGTGTTGAACATCCATGCTGCGAAATCTTGTGTTTCCGCAGGTTTTTTGGGCACGATTTTGGAATCATTTCGAAACCGATGGGTTTGAAGGAGTTCGGCATACGCGCGCGACGACGCGCGCGTCTGCACTCCGTTTTATTTGTTTTGCAGAAGAATCTCGCGACGGCACACGGTTAAGGGCGTTAGACATATTTCGACATGCGCGCGCGCGAAGCCCGTTTAGTAGCATGTTGTGAACAGTTTGAAAAACCTATGGTTTTCTTGAGATTTTGCGAGAGCTCGCGCGTAAGTTGTTTTAGCAAATCAGTGTTGCGAAACCCTGTACTATGTTGTTTGAAAGCTCGATTGCGAAATCCTTCCGACACCGAAGGTTTTTGAGGACTTCGGCATGCGCGCGCGACGACGCGCGCGTGTGCACTTCGTCCCATTGTTTGCAAAGGATTCGCGAACAAGTCTTATGTTCGAGCAAACAATGTCCCGCGTATTGTTTTTTAACAAGGGACAAGGGAACCTCAGGGGGAGCGATCCCGGCCCCCCTGGGATATTGTAAGTTCATATTTCGGATGGACATGTGGTCATAATCATATATTATGATTTACATACCCGAAAGGGGGGGATAACTCCGGGGGGGTAGAGTCTATTCTGTTTTTAGAAAGGAGAATTGTCTGCTCTCTACTGGAAGGGTACACGTCTGTTCTGCGTACTTGGGCTTTCCATCTTGGGATCCTCGCCTCTCTGGACATTTCCGCACGGCCTTGGCCCTTCGTCGCAAGGGCTCTCGTTCTTGACCCACGCTGTTGTGGTCGCGTTTCGGCTGCAGTCCGGGGCGCGTTCAACACCCTCGCGACGCCTCTGGTTCTGGTGATCCTCTCATGGACGTGCTCATTATTCTGATTAAGTCGCTGGTTCTACGTGCTTCCAGCTCGCGCCGCCTCCAGCGACACCCTGGAGCTCGAGTTGTTGAGCCCTCCTGGACTGACCTGGGGGTCTGCGGAGGCCAGCGTGGACTTCCTCGGGGGGCTGGCTGTGCGCAGCCCCGACGTCGCGCAGCTCTCGAGCGTCGGGGCTTCTCTTCGGCTTGGGGCCGACAGCGGCCCGCGTGCGCCCCGACAGGACCATCAACAATTGGTCTGGCAGGGATAACTGGTCCCGACAATGGGCGAGATGTCCAGCCTTGCCAGTGTCCTGGCTCTCCCCACTCTCCAGCTTCTGCCCTCCACTCCATCTCCTTCTTCCCCCCCATCCTCCTGACTACCCTCCATGCCTCTTTCCCTCCCCCTCGTCTCTCCCCCTCGGGGTGCCAACGCTCCCCTGGGCCCTCCCGTGGGGAGAGGGGGGTTACACGCGAGCGCGCCATGGCCGAGGGCCCCCGCAGCCAGGACGGCCGGATCGTGTACGACCTGAACTGCAAGAAGGTCGCCGCCACCCGCGTCCCGCCCGCCTCCCGCCACTTGCCAGCGGCGCGCAGGTGGAAATTCAGGGACGGAGAGCGGGGCGGGGGGCAGAGGAGGGAGGACGGAGGGGGACGGGTTCAGGGACGGTGGAGGGAGGACGGGCAGAGGAAGGGGCTCCCCTGCGCGTCGACTCGATCACGGCGCTGCTCGATTTCCCTTACCTTGGGGCGCCTGACGAGGAGGGTTCCAAGGGGGCCACCTGAAAGGGAGGGAGGAGCTCCAGAGCGCAGGCAGTGAGACCCTGTGTCTCCCTCCGCCGCACACGCCCACTCCCCCCCCCCCTCTCTCCCAGAGGGCAGGAGGTCGTCGCGGGAGCAGGGGGGACCTGCGCGACCGACCAGCTCCTGCTCCCCCCTTTCCGCCCCCCCGCGGCTCGGCCCGCGGCCCCCCGTCCGGCGGCGAGGGCGCCGCCCTGGACAAGCTGAAGAGACCTGGCGCGGACTGAGGGGCGCCACGCCAGACGCTGCCCAGAAGTCTCGCAGGCCTCGAGGTTGACACCAACACCAATCTCGGCCGTGTGCCTCCACCGAGGGAAGAGGATCCCGCTCTCGGTGATGGTGGTAACTCAGAGCGTGAATTTCCTACCCCGCTTTCGCTTCCAGGCAAAACCAAGCCATACCACGCGCCTCCCCGGCGGCTGCTTGACCAGTACAGGCTGCAATTTGGCATCGTTTGGTATCTCTTGGAAGCGAGGATGGCCAAAAGCGAGGTAGGTTTGTTGTTCCCCTAGTAACACTCTGGCTCCCGAGGTGGCCGAGATATCACCACCAACACCGAAACCTATAGGAGCATCTTCCCCCCGTGGAGGCCCCCCCCCCTGTGCTGGTGTTGGTGCCAATGCCCAGGCCTCCAACAGTCGGCGACGCGCCCCGAGGGGGGGGAAGCGAGAGGGGGCGGGCCTCGCCGGCCCGCCGGCCCTGGCATCCCGCCCGCGCGTCCGTCGTCGTCTGCCTGCTTCTCCCCTCCTCGGCCCCGCCTGCCGGGCAGCACAGGCCTGCCCCGGGCCACCGCGGCGGCGCCGCAGGGCCTCGGCCGGGGGCGCGCCTGCTCTCGGGAGGCTCGGAGGCCCGCCGACCTTCCGAGAGGTTTTCCTTCCGCGGAGGCACCGTCAGCAGGCGCAGGGGGCCGCTGAGAGGCCCCGTCGTCCTCTGAGCAGGCCTCCTCCTCCTCCTCCTCCTCCTCCTCCTCCTCCTCCTCACTTCGCCCCCCGTCGTTCGCCGCCGAGGGAAGGTGTCCCTGGCCCCTGGCCTTCGAGAAAGGACGCCTGCACGAACATGCAGGCGGCCCGGATCAATAGGTCGACCCTGCCAGATCAAGGGTACCCTCGTGTCCTGTGTCTTGCGACCCATGCCTCCTGCATTTCTGTGGCAACGTGGCCCTCGGAAGGGTCTTGTGTCCTCTCGGGATCAGACATCCAGCGCCTGGAAACCATCAGGACGACGGTTTCTCATAGTTCTCGGCCTCCGCGGGACCCTCGCCAGGCCGGGGGACTGCGAAACAAGGACCGCCCCAATAAGAGATGTTATATGTAATGTTGAAATTTTGGAAGCCCTGGTGCACCCCCCCGCTCACCGTGTAGGTCCGGGGCGAACATACGGCCCTGGGGAAATGGTCTCGGGATCTCGGAGGGCCCGGATTGGAACAACAAGACGTCGGATATCTGAGGAGGAGGAGGAGGAGGAGGAGGATCAGAGAAGGACGAGGATCAGAGGAGGAACAGCACGGCTACTGGCCAGAGACGTCCGTGAAGTAGAGGAGGAGGAGGAGGAGGAGGAGGAGGAGGAGGAGGATAAGGAGGGAGGACCGAGGATCCAGGAGGTTCTTTCTCCTCCGCCTCCTCCTCCTCCTCCTCCTCCCACTCCTCTCCTCATCCAGACTCCTCCTCGCTCCTCCTCTTCCTCGCTCCTCTTCCTCGGTCTTTCTCGCTACTCTCCCTCCTCCATCCTCGTCCTCTTCGTCCCTCCCAGCTCCTCCTCCTCGTCCACCTCCTTTCCGCGAGCGCGCGGGAGCGCGCGAGATCGCGGGCTGGGGGGAGGGACGGGTGTGAGGGCGAGAGCGCCCTGCATGGCCGCCTCGTCCCCGCTGGCGCGTTGGCAGGCGGTCCCCCGCGAGCCAGCCCGGGAAACACACAGCGCGGGCGTGCGCGCGCGCAGGATGGAGGGTGGAGGAGGCGGAGGCGAAGGGGAGGAGGTGGAGGAGGAGGCCAGGGTGGAGGTGGGTGGGGATGAGAAGACGGATGAGGAGGGGGAGGAAGGGGAAAGAGGAGGACGGAGAAGGAGGAGGAGGAGGGGGAAAAGGCTTCTCGCTGTTGTAGGCACCAGCCTGCCAGGGTCATTGACGGACTAGAGATTAGGTTTGGAACAGTTTGGGCAGCTTGGACCAACACCTCAGAGCACGACGATGAGGTCATCTGTGAACCTCTCGCGGCACAGCATGCTGGATCTGTTGTCAAGAAGACGCACTCTAAGATGAATGCGACGCCGATGCACGGCCATCACGACCTTCATCTCCTTATCCAGCGCTGCGTGGCATCCAGGAGGCAAGGAGGGCGAGGAGGAGGGAGGAGAGGGAGGAGAATGTAGGAGGGCCCCCCCCTCGTCCCCGGGCAGGACAGGGAGGTTCCCAGTGCTGTTGTGATAGAAGATACTCGGGCCGAGGGAATTCAAAGCAGAGACGTCCTCAAACACAAATTTGGTGGTCTGGGCCGTTTCGCCCGAGAAATCCTCGCAACTCTCGTTTCGGAGTTGTCCGGGATTCGGCGTTTCGCGTGAGACATCCTCCAACTCTGAGCTCCCAGGTGTCGCGCGAGAGGTGGTCTAGCCTGTTTCGCCTGAGACATCCTCCAAACTCTGAGCTCCCAGATGCCGCGCGAGAGGTGGTCCAGCCTGTTTCGCCTGAGACATCCTCCAAACTCTGAGCTCCCAGATGCCGCGCGCGAGGCAGTCCGGCGCGTTTTGCCTGAGACGTCGTCGAAACTCTGAGCTCTGAGGTGCTGTGCAAGAAGTGGTCCGGCGCGTTTCGCCTGAGACATCCTCCAAGCTCTGAGCTCTGATATGCCGTGCGCGAGCTGGTCCGGCCCGTTTTGCCTGAGACATTCTCGCAACTTTGCGCTCTCTGATGCCGCGCGAGAGGTTGTCCGTTTCGCTTGAGACACCCTCCAAACTCTGACCCCGAGATGTCACCCGAGAGGTGGTCCTGCCCGTTTCACTTGAGACATCCTCGCACTTTTGCATTCCGAGATGCCGCGCGAGAGGTGGTCCGGCCCGTTTCGTCTGAGATGTCGTCGAAACTCTAAGCTCTGAGATGCCGCGCGCGAGGTGGTCTTGCCCGTTTCGCCTGAGACACCCTCAAAATTCTGAGCTCTGAGTTGCCGCGCAAGAGTTGGTCCAGCCCATTTCGCCTGAGACATCCTCGCAACTTTGACCTCGGAGATGCCGCGTGCGACATGGTCCAGCCCGTTTCGCTTCAGACATCCTCGCATTTCTGAGCTTTGAGATGACCTGCGCAAGGTGGTCCGGCCCGTCTCGCCTGAGACATCCTCGCAACTCTGAGCTCTGAGATGCCGTGCGCAAGGTGGTCCGGCCCGTTTCGTCTGAGATGTCGTCGAAACTCTGAGCTCTGAGATGCCGCGCGCGAGGTGGTCTTGCCCGTTTCGCCTGAGACACCCTCAAAACTCTGAGCTCTGAGCTGCCGCGCAAGAGTTGGTCCAGCCCATTTCGCCTGAGACATCCTCGCAACTTTGACCTCGGAGATGCCGCGTGCGACATGGTCCAGCCTGTTTCGCTTCAGACATCCTCGCATTTCTGAGCTCTGAGATGACCTGCGCAAGGTGGTCCGGCCCGTCTCGCCTGAGACATCCTCGCAACTCTGAGCTCTGAGATGCCGTGCGCAAGGTGGTCCGGCCCGTTTCGCACAAGACATTCTCGTAACTCTGAGCTCCCAGATGCCGCGCAAGAGGTGGTCCTGCCTGGGGGCCCAGAATACCACATGTTACATATTTCCCCTGGGACCCTGTGAGCCCCAGGAGGCCCCAGAGAGGTTCCGGAGGCCGCAGGATGCCAAGGACAGGCCCCAGGGGTCCCTAGGAGATTCCCAGGAGGCTCCCAGGAGGCCCCAGGAGGCCCCCTATCAGAACGTGTCAAGTTAGTACACATCCGGTGCCGATTCGTTGATTTTTCCTGCTCTTGTGGCCCCCCCCCATATTGGGGGGCCCAGGCGGCCACATGTTAGATATCCCCCCCTGGGAGCCCCAAGAGGCTTCAGGAAGCCCCAGGTGGGGTCCAGGAGGCCACAGGATGCCCAGGAGGAAGCCCCAGGAGGTCCCCAGGAGACCCCAGGAGGCCCCAGGAGGCCCCCGCAACTCAGAGCTCTGAGACGCCGCGCTCGAGGTGGTCTGGCCCGTTTCGCCTGAGACTTCCTCGCAGCACGTTTCGCCTGAGACATCGTCGCAACTCTGGGGTCCGAGATGCCGCGCGCGAGGTGGTCCAGCCCGTTACGCTGGAGAAATCCTCGCAACTCTGGGCTCCGAGATGCCGTTCGGGATGAAGAGGATGTGGAGGAGGAGGAGGAGGAGGAGGAGGAGATGGAAGGGAGAAGAGAGAAGGAGGAGGAGGATATGGATGAGGGAGCAGGAAGGGAGGAGGGGGAGGAGGAGGAGGAGGAGGAGGAGGAGGAGGAGGAGGAGGAGGAGGAGGAAGGAAGGGAGTTGCAGGAGAGGACCTAACGGGAAGCGATTGTGACGTGGACTTGTCAGAACGTGTGCGAGAGGTTGTCTGGTCCGTTTCGTTTGAGACATCCTTCCAATACTGAGCTCCAAGATGTCGCCAAAAGTGAGCCTTTGACAGTGCCGACCCGACAGCTTAGTCGTCGACCCAGTACGAGAGAGTACGACACCCTCTAGCGTTAGCTTCCTGATAGGCATGCGTCACACAAGTTTTCGTGTAAACATCTCATGTGCAAACATCATGCTATCATGTTATAACATGCCATGCCAGCCCGCACTGGACGGGCGCGCAATCGACCTTAGAAACCGCAGTGGTTTTAAAACAACCCTGTTTGGGGATACTGCACTCCGGCTATAATTGATTGTGTGTAAGTATGTTCCCAGGGTGCCATTAAGTCGGGCACGTCGCCCTACATGTGGAAGATTCAAATACAGTCAAAACATATGGGGACGATTGTTTGTAGTATGTGTGACTCTTGCACTGTTTAGCGATGTTTCATTTTTGTCAAGAATCCGCCTGTAGGAGGACATACCCGACCTAAGGATACCCTTGAATGCGTGTCCTGTCGGCCCATCCTCGGCTGCTTGCGTCCTCAGCGGCGGGTCGCGGCTTGGACGCCCAGGCGTCCTGGAGCTAATCCGTTGTCTTTGCATCGGTATGATCGCAATTGTGCTGTGCGCCAGCGAGCGCGTCGGCAGACAGCGCGGCATTGCGCAGGCGAGCGTGGCAGCAACGAACCTTGGAACCCGCGTCGTCAGGGAGGAGGGGAAAGGGTACGGACATGGACACAGACAGCGAGGCAGAGTTACAACACCCGCAGGGTGGCCCACTGCGCGACGGCGTCTGTGCTCGCTGCCAGAGTTTTTGGTTTGCTGCTGATTTGCTCGGCTCCGTTTCGTCTGCTCCTGTCGGGGTAACGTAGGATTCGAGTAAGCCGGAACTCGGGTTTGCCGACGTTGTTTTGACGAGCGCGTCTTGGATTCCGACGGTCCGGTTTTCGGGGGACGTCTGCAGCGGGAGGTCGCGCCAAATTTCAGACAGGGTCTCGTCACGTCCATGATGGCCCCGCCAGGCCAACCCGCGTCTCCCGCACCCGAGTCTTGCGTCTCCCCGATTTTGGAAGGCGGCGCACGCTCGGCGAAGCATCGGCCCCCGGGGCGGGGGCGTGCGGGCCCCGGGGGGGGGGGGCCGCACGCCCCGTCCAGGCGGGGGGGCGCCTCGCCGCCCCCGCCCCGGCATCTCCGATGCCCAAGGTTATGCCCTTCCCTTCGTGCCCCTCCCCGCTCCATCCTCGCCACCCCCCCCCCGCCGCCACTTGCCCTCTCCACGTGCCCTTCCCTGGAAGAAGAGCAGACGCTATGAGAACAAACCTTTGGTGCGCCGCGCGGACTTCTTGGATCCGCCCTGGAGCTCCCCTGGCCGCGTAGATCCAAGAAATCCGCGCGGAGCGCCAGACATTGATGTTTTTGTCGTTGCTTCTTCTGCTTCTCCTTCCCCCCCCCCCCGCCGTCCCGGTGCCTCCCCCCCGCCGCTTTCCCCCCACCCTTCGCCCCTCGCCCCCCCCCCCGAGGAAGCTGCTCGCTGGGAGAGGACCCAGAAGCAAGCTGACTCGGATGACGCGTGCTTCGGTGATTGAGCCCGAGGTTCCCCAGAGAGCGAGGAGCCGTCTGATGTGGCTCGCACAGTCGGAACCCTCGTCCTCCCCCTCCTCTCAGTGCCCGTCCCTCCAGAACTACTCGATGTGATGTCTGCCCTCGTCTCTCCTCTGACTGTTGCAAGGCGGTGTCCCACCCTTTCTCCCTGCAGTGCTGATCGCGCACAGGATTTCAAGCGTTATTGCTTGCATGTGCTATTGCATTCCGACCGTTGCTGCTTTTTTATATCTGCAAGGGCCTGAGCCTAGGGTTCTCGTTTAGATGTTTATATTTCCTAAATCGGCACGAGTAAAGATGTGGGAAGAGGGCTGGCGGACATATTTTGAGGGTCTCCCGAACGAATCGTTTTTTTTTGTTGCAGAATTGGTTGAGGATGTTTCGAGCGAGGTGTTTGTTTTGCGTTGTATATTGTTCCTCTCCTGGGGACTAGAATTCAGCGGATGTTTCGTGTGGAATATTTGTTTTACGTGTGTTCTGTATTGAGATATGTATTCGGGGAACGCTTTTCGCTTCCCCCCGCCCCCCAGGACGCGCCAGGAGGCTGGAGAAGTGTGAAGGCATATGGTTCCTAACGCCCCAGGGCGGGACGAACGGAAACACACATAGGTTCCTAACGCCCGTGCGTAAAAACAAATGGGTTCCTAACGCCTCAGGGTGGGGCAAGCGTGAAAACACATGGGTTCCGGACGTCCCAGGGCGGGAGACACGTGATACCACTTGGGTTCCTGACGCCCCGGGGCGGGACAAGC